TGTTGTCAGTGTGTTGTCAGTGTGTTGTCAGTGTGTTGTCAGTGTGTTGTCAGTGTGGTGTCAGTGTGTTGTCAGTGTGTTGTGAGTGTGTTGTCAGTGTGTTGTCAGTGTGTTGTCAGTGTGTTGTCAGTGTGTTGTCAGTGTGTTGTCAGTGTGTTGTCAGTGTGTTGTCAGTGTGTTGTCAGTGTGTTGTCAGTGTGTTGTCAGTGTGTTGTGTGTGTTGTGTGTGTTGTGAGTGTTGTCAGTGTTGTCAGTGTGTTGTCAGTGTGTTGTCAGTGTGGTGTCAGTGTGGTGTCAGTGTGTTGTCAGTGTGTTGTGTGTGTTGTCAGTGTGTTGTCAGTGTGTTTTGTGTGTGTTGTGAGTGTTGTCAGTGTGTTGTCAGTGTGTTGTCAGTGTGTTTTGTGTGTGTTGTGAGTGTTGTCAGTGTGTTGTCAGTGTGTTTTGTGTGTGTTGTGAGTGTTGTCAGTGTGTTGTCAGAGTGTTGTCAGTGTGTTGTCAGTGTGTTGTCAGTGTGTTGTGTGTGTTGTCAGTGTGTTGTCAGTGTGTTTTGTGTGTGTTGTGAGTGTTGTCAGTGTGTTGTCAGTGTGTTGTCAGTGTGTTGTCAGTGTGTTGTCAGTGTGTTGTCAGTGTGTTGTCAGTGTGGTGTCAGTGTGTTGTCAGTGTGTTGTCAGTGTGTTGTCAGTGTGTTGTCAGTGTGTTGTCAGTGTGGTGTCAGTGTGGTGTCAGTGTGTTGTCAGTGTGTTGTGAGTGTGTTGTCAGTGTGTTGTCAGTGTGTTGTCAGTGTGTTGTCAGTGTGTTGTCAGTGTGTTGCCAGTGTGTTGTCAGTGTGTTGTGTGTGTTGTGTGTGTTGTCAGTGTGTTGTGTGTGTTGTCAGTGTGTTGTCAGTGTGTTGTGTGTGTTGTGAGTGTTGTGAGTGTGTTGTCAGTGTGTTGTCAGTGTGTTGTCAGTGTGTTGTCAGTGTGTTGTCAGTGTGGTGTCAGTGTGTTGTCAGTGTGTTGTGAGTGTGTTGTCAGTGTGTTGTCAGTGTGTTGTCAGTGTGTTGTCAGTGTGTTGTCAGTGTGTTGTCAGTGTGTTGTCAGTGTGTTGTGTGTGTTGTCAGTGTGTTGTCAGTGTGTTGTGTGTGTTGTGAGTGTTGTGAGTGTGTTGTCAGTGTGTTGTCAGTGTGTTGTCAGTGTGTTGTCAGTGTGTTGTCAGTGTGTTGTGTGTGTTGTCAGTGTGTTGTCAGTGTGTTGTCAGTGTGTTGTGTGTGTTGTGAGTGTTGTCAGTGTGTTGTCAGTGTGTTGTCAGTGTGTTGTGAGTGTGTTGTCAGTGTGTTGTGAGTGTGTTGTCAGTGTGTTGTCAGTGTGTTGTCAGTGTGTTGTCAGTGTGTTGTCAGTGTGTTGTCAGTGTGTTGTGTGTGTTGTGAGTGTTGTCAGTGTGTTGTCAGTGTGTTGTCAGTGTGTTGTCAGTGTGTTGTCAGTGTGTTGTGAGTGTTGTCAGTGTGTTGTCAGTGTGTTGTCAGTGTGTTGTCAGTGTGTTGTCAGTGTGTTGTCAGTGTGTTGTCAGTGTGTTGTGTGTGTTGTGAGTGTTGTCAGTGTGTTGTCAGTGTGTTGTCAGTGTGTTGTCAGTGTGTTGTCAGTGTGTTGTGTGTGTTGTGAGTGTTGTCAGTGTGTTGTCAGTGTGTTGTCAGTGTGTTGTCAGTGTGTTGTCAGTGTGTTGTGAGTGTGTTGTCAGTGTGTTGTCAGTGTGTTGTCAGTGTGTTGTCAGTGTGTTGTCAGTGTGTTGTCAGTGTGTTGTCAGTGTGTTGTCAGTGTGTTGTCAGTGTGTTGTGAGTGTGTTGTCAGTGTGTTGTCAGTGTGTTGTCAGTGTGTTGTCAGTGTGTTGTCAGTGTGTTGTCAGTGTGTTGTCAGTGTGGTGTCAGTGTGTTGTCAGTGTGTTGTCAGTGTGTTGTCAGTGTGTTGTCAGTGTGTTGTCAGTGTGTTGTGAGTGTTGTCAGTGTGTTGTCAGTGTGTTGTCAGTGTGTTGTCAGTGTGTTGTGTGTGTTGTGTGTGTTGTGAGTGTTGTCAGTGTGTTGTCAGTGTGTTGTGTGTGTTGTGAGTCTCCTCTCTGCTCCGCGGTGTGTGTTGTTTCACTGCGTGAGAACGTGTGTGTGTGTGTGTGTGTGAGAGAGGCGTGGCTTGTCGGACACAGCAACAGTAACTAAGGGGGCGTGTCTTTGCGAGCGGTCAGCTGTCTTTGATGAGGTTTATTCTCCAGCAGTGACCGTCACACAGAGACACACACACACACACGTGAGCGCATTACATTAGTGTCACACACACACCGCCGGCGATATATATAACTGAACTGAAGCCTCGCTGAGCTCCTGCTGCGGTCTCCTGGTCTCTCGCGGCTCACACACACTCTGTGCTGTAATAGCGCTGTGGAAATAAAGCCGACGAGACGACACTACTGCTCAAAGGCTTGGGGTCAGGAAGATGATTAACATTTCTAGCAAGCAATGATATATTATGAAATATTTCAAATAAATGCTGCTCTTTTGAACTTTCTATTCATCAAATAAACCATGAAACTATGAACTATGACGGTTTCTAACATTTAAAATATAAATAAATGTGCCTTGACTTTATCGTCTTGACTCTCAGTGTCTTCTCTCTAGGCAATGATGCTATTGCAACATATGTGGAACATTCTTACACTTCTTTATCATATTTTTCATGTGTGTGTGTGTGTTCTTTTACTGTCATATGATGGTCACACACATCTTAAAGATACGATTTCTATAGATTTATAACTATATTAGCTTTTATTTAATACTTAAAACAAAATTAAATTATATTAATGCTGTCAAATCAAATAATCGTGATTAATCGCATCTAACAAGTTTGTAAATATATATATATATATATATATATAATAGAGCAATCAAATCAATCGCATCTAACATACATTTTTGTACACACACACACACATCGTAGTCGTCACAGAGTCATCTCATATTTATTGAACGATTATGCTCTTATTAACCAGCAAATCAACATTTGTGAGATTTATTCAATTTTAACAGTTTTGAGGTGTATATATAATAAATGTTCATATATATATATACACACACACACATATATTTACGAACATTTATTATATATACACAATATATATATATATATAACACTCAGTGTGTTTCCCTATACTGTCAACTACAGTGACTCTCAGTAATGTGTGTGTGTGTGTGTGTGTGTGTGTTAAAACACTGGTATCAAATGTTCACATATGTTCTAATTTGGTACACTGTTTATTTAAATTTAAGTTATGAAATAATAATTTCTTCTATTATTTTGATGGTTTTATTATTCTATGTATTCAAAGCTTTTGCAATATTGTATTATTTACAGTCATGACACTAAAGCAATTTTGAATTTGAATTTATATATATATATAAAAAATGCTGTCAAATCGATTAGTCACATCTAACATAAGTTTTTAAATATATGTCTGTGTATAAATATAACGTTATATATTTACGAACATTTATTATATAATGATTGAACATAATCGTTCAATAAACATGATGACGCAGTGACGACTACGATCAAGAGAACATTAAAGGGGGAGTAACGTTATATTAAATCAATGTACTATTAACTAGCAGCACCATATATATATATACATATACATAAAATAAAACTCTTGCAATGGTGTACTGAGTTACTGCTGGGTTCAGACTGACCTCTTCCGGCGCTTTGACGGTTCTCCTGTCCCAGTCGATGAGTTTATTGAGCGGGTTGTAGAGGAACGCGGGTTTGCTGACGGACCGGAACAGGTCGTCGGGGTTCGGCAGCGGCTCGGCGGCTCGCTTGCGGCTCTGCGGGTTCGAGGATCCGGACGGTTCCGGCTCGATGCGGCTCTTCTTACTGGACTCATGACTGTCCGAGTCACTGCTGCTGTCGCTCAGATCATCATAACCCATGAAGAAATTACGGCCCTCGGGTTCCTTCTCATCGCTCATGGTGGATGAAGACGAGAAAGACTGTCGGATTCAATGGTTTTGGGTTTGGGATTCGGAACCGCAGATTAAAAACAACTAAACAACGGCCGCCATGTTGAATTTGGCGCGCGCTGATGATGTAATAAACATGGGTCGCGTATACAGAATAAAATGACCGATGTCAAAAAAAAAAAAAAAAAAAAGACCGATTAAATACATTTAAAAAACGGATCACAAAAATAAAAGAAAGTAGACCGTGATCATTTTTCAATTTTCCAATGTATTTTTAAAATCAAGTATCTGAATTCAGATCGCTGTTTAAGTAAACAGCGTTGTCATGTGTTATTTACATTTTAAAGCACTTGTCAGATTTGACCAATTACAGTCATTTGTGATTACTGGATTTTAAATTAATCTTTCTATCTAGCTATCAAAATATATTTGGACACTGGCAACACTTAAAATGTTTATATATATATAGATAAAATAAAATCACCAGGACTCATTTAAACATGCTATTTTGATGGAGTATTTCGTTTGTGTTTTGATTTGATCCAGCTGTGGAAATAAATGCAGCCGAACAAAACACACAATACACATCACATCCATTCACAAGCTGCTTTATTTAACAAACCCAACCAAATCATTACAAATGCACAGTGTAAAGGGATCATGGCTCACTAAAAGTCCTGAGTGACATCTAACATTTGAAGACAGCAGACTGATCCATCGATCACAAGAACATTAAACTACGGCAGACGCGGAATCCTGGAGATCTGAGACTTTTATGGATGATGACAGATTTTTATGGAAGGCCATTTCCACTACATAAGGAAAAAAATCATGCTTTTGTAAATCATGAATATGACATAAAAATTCTAAATTATGTCTCATGATGAAAAGACAAAATGACACTAAATCAATTATGTGATGAAAATTCTGACTTAAAAAGTCTAAATGATACATGAAAAATATCCATATTTTTTACTTTATATAAGTCACTCTTCCGCCGGAACTCGCCTTGCATACAGACATTACCGGAAGCCAGTGATTATAGTTTATAAAGTTATAAATATGGATATTTTTCTTACAAATGCATCGCTTCATAAGGCCTTTATTAACCCTGTATAGATTACTTTTATGGATGGATGTGCTTTTTTGGTCTTCAAAATCGCAGGCTCTGCTCAATCCCATTATGGGAGAGCCAGGATATTTTTTAAATATAACTCAGCTGAGGTACGTGATGTACGTGTGCTATCAGGGAGATTGTGTTTGGCTGAAAGAATAAAGTCATATAGGCCTACACATGATGGCTTGAGGGTGAGTAAATGATGGGATACTCTTCGTTTTTGGGTGAACTATCCCTTTAAGTGTGACATAAAAAAAGGTGAAATTATGACATACCAAGTCAAAATTGATAAAACATTGAATTTATGAACTTCATAATTATGACTTTTTATCTCATATTTCGACTTTTTTAATCTAGTATGCCATAATTGTGACCTACTATATCATAATTTCATTTTATGTCATAAATATGACATAACGTTTTACTTAATATGTCGTCATAATTTTTATTTTTTATGTCATTATTAAGATTTACCGAAGCATTTTATTTTTACTGGTGGAAATGACTTTCCAGATATACATTTTTAAGGATGATGATGACAGATTTCAGCTGATAATAACAGGGAAACTCCGGGTTGAATGGAAGTTTACGCGCTCGGTTCTCCAATCCACGAGGAAACACGGAATTCCTTCAGGATGAGCGGATAATAGTAGAAGTTAAACTAGTAAACACTGCTTCTTTACGACTGTGATCTCATACAGTGTGACTTGGATGCGTTACGACCGGCTATTTACGATCTAGCCTATTTAACAAGTGTCTGGCAGAGAAATAACGATAACGTATTTTGCAAAGCATCCACATGAGATAAAGAATGAGATGTCGTAAGATGATGACAGTATAATTCACATTTTTATAAAAGGCTGCCGAGGTGTTTAACGGTTGTCGTCGTCGAAGTGTTTTTAGCACAAGTGTAAATCCAGTTTAACTGCTGCTGGCCCGCGACTCTGGGCTTTAAATCTGCATTTTCTCTTCAGGAGGAGAAATAAACCGATGAGTTACGACAGAGAATGAGTCTCTTCAGTTCGGAGAATCCTGTATATTAAAGTAAAAAATCGCTAAACTGCGACTGAGGAAGCTAATTAAATGCACAGCTAGGCAGATTAGCAACTTTAGCTAATTGTCAAACGCAGAAAACACCCGTAGGCTACGTGTCATGACAAACCGGGTCTCCCCAAACTGTCAGTTAATGATTATCCTAAGTATATATGAATTATATTCATTTAAAATAAGCACAGCTTGCTATATAATTGGTACGAAAACACATTAGTGCATAATAAAACCAATTGAACATAATTTGATTAGGCCTACTGTTATAACAGCCATCAGGTGAATAATTGAACATCATTCATTTGTTATATATATAACTGAAATATGTGGATATTTGACACTTAATTTAACTCATAATTACATTAAAGATGATTGAGAATAGGTACAAATGTGTGTAAAAACTAACCTATCAGGCTAATTGCTTATCTGTATGCTTTGCTAGTAGGCTATAAGCTAATAGACATAAATGGTCGTTATATAATGTAGTTGAAAACTATTTATCATAACAGGATTTTGGAGGAATTGTAATCAGGCGCTACCTATTAAAAAGCAATTTTAACCAATGGGATTGCCTGGGGTCCTATTTCGAGGGGGACCCAATTTGTCATCACACTGGCAGAAACACAAACTCTTTAGAGAGTCAAGTACACCTGAAACCTCCTACATGAGCTAAATCAGACTAAACGCGAACAAAAATATGTTTTGCTAATGTTATAAACGTTTCTGAACGTACAAAGCGTTTTAAAAGTAATTTTTCCTTGCTTATGTAAACGTTGCGTAAACATTCCGGTTTTATCATCCTTCAAACATTGCTTTTAAATGTTCTCTTAACGTTCTCAAACAAGTAGAAGCATTCAAAAAACGTTAGACGAACATCCAAATAAATGTTTTTGTGCTAACATTTAGAGAACGTTATTAAAGACCAGATAACTTTGAACAAACGTTTTATTAATATTACCATTTGTTCAAAACCTTGAGGAAACATTGCCAGAACATGTTGCCTGTTTACGTCTCGTAAACTAGTCGAATTCACACACTTTCCATCCTGAATTGTTTATGTGATTAGAATTAGCATCCCAAATCATAGTGCATGCTAGCTCCTTCCCGGTATATTACCCATAAGCCATTGCACCGGAGCATGTTTACAGCTGAAGGAATGCAGCGAGGAAAAAGCAATACTGTATCCCACAATGCAATGCTTTTCACTTGAGCCTCTATTTCTGTTACTTTAATGACTCACTAAATGTCCTTCACAATGGCTTACTTCACATGTGCACATTGTAAACGCGCTGAGAATACAGTTCAAATGCTCTATAAAACTATTTCTGACTCGATGCGTGTCGCCTGTGGCGCTCGACGC